TGAGCTCGTAGATGATGATAAATAACATAGTTATGTATAATATATTACATTTCTGACTGTATATCCCTGTAATTATTATACACTGTAGCTTTAATAAGTGAATCCAAGTGTATGAGTCTAATAAGCAAGTCCCAGTTGTTATTTATACATGCTACAGTTAACAGGAGAGAAGATGAGATAAAAGTGGATATTTGTTATCCATGGGGACATAAGCCCCATTTACACTACCCTTTTGAAACCATGCCAATATCGGTCCGAGCACAGTAACCGAGATAACTGCTGAGTGTAAATGGCACACACAACTGAACCGGACCACGCCAGACGCAACCAAACCAAGCTAAACTGTTACTAGTTCATCAGTAGGGCTCGGCGCGGTTCAGTTCTGGCTCGATTCTAAGATAAAGAGAGCGTGAGCAGACTGCGTCATCTCTCATTCATAAAAATACAAGCTTCCCTACCGTGCCACATGATTTCCAGTGATGATTCTGCATCTCTTGTTGTTTCCTGCTTAGACTATCGTTTTTTGTATCCACTTCCCAAAAGCAGACTCTGTCAACTAAATTCACCAAAGGCTGCCTTCTTCGCCTGACTCTCCGCAAACTTCCTGAATGTTACGGGCGCCGCCATGTTGATTAGCTTTTTTACTTCTAGAGAGCAGCGGTACCGTAGATCGTGACTAGGAGGTAAGGAACCACGCTAACATGGTGTGTAAATGGTCGTAAGTAACCGAGCTCGGTGCTGTTAACTGATCCCAGCTTGGCAGGGATCAGTTTTCAGACGGTAGTGTAAATGGGGCTAAAGAAGGATGTCAATTTCATTTTCTCTACCAATATAAATGTTTGTTTGTTTTTTTTACCACCCCAAACATTTCCCATGAGTTTCAGCCATCCAGCTTGCTAGGCGGTCTGCAACCTGCGGCTCCAGAAACACATAGCGCTATATGGACTCCCTGCAATGGCTCTTAATAGCGGTTAAAGTGACGTAAAGAAATAATTAATGTACTACTAGAGCAAATACCAGTCTTGGAAGCTTAAGTTGGTTAAAAAGAATTTTTGAATTGAGTTTTTTACAACAGAATAAGATTAGAAATGTTTTTAGAGCCATTTTATTTTGAATTAGCTTATGTGTTTTCTTACTATAATTTAGTTTACATCAAATAACTTCCTATAAAAGACAAAACCATGCTTCATCTTTATGCATTATTTTGTTTTTACTTGTTTTAAAAGCTAAAAATACAAATAAACTGTTGGTTGTTTAAGATTGCAACAGATTTCCTACGGAAGATATTTAATAAAAATATTAGTAACGTTTACTAACCCTGACTCAAGGTAAAATGGTACTTTGTATATGAAAGGTTGGAGACCGCTGGGCTGGCTGAACAGCAGAGAGCAGCTACACAACACCAGCAACAGGTAGACGGATACATCTGTTTTTTTCGTTATGCATAGGTCGCTATTCATTTATTCTTTGTTTGATTTAGTAATACTTCTTTTTTGGAATTTTTAAAACATCTGTTATTTGTAATATGCAAGTAGGGGGGAAGAAGCAATATTAGCTTCAAGAAGCAGCTCAAAAAAAAAAAAATAAATGGTTCATTTCAGGGAATGGTTAGACTTGGGTCAGAATCAACAGAATCTCAGGATAAAAAAAAAACGTCATTGGCTGATCTAAAGCACACACTAAGGAAAATCGTATGACACATTTCAAAAAAGTATTCAATCGTCCATGAATAGTCATTAAACTCATGGGTTGTAGTTACTTTCATGGCCATAGCATCGTAAAACCCAACATCTAGGTAAGTAGATAAATACAGGAAACAATGCAAACCTTTGACCTTCATGTGTTCTTCAGATTAGCTCAAAGGCAGGCCGTAGAAAGCAGCTACATCCCTGCCTCAACCCTAAGGCTGTGCAGAGATGAACTCTGAGGTGAAGAATCATAACTGAGTTTGGGTTTGGCAGTAGTCAGGAGAAGAAAAAAGGTTTGCTCGCCTGTGTTGTGTCAAATGCAAAGTTTGGCGCAGAAAGTGTAATGATGGTGGAACAGTTTTTAAAAGTTGTTGTGCTCAGCCCATCTATTAAAAAACTCTCTCCTGGATGGTTTCAAGCCCAGAGCGTGAAATCAGGTGAATTTCACACTCCTGGTTTCATGGGAACATTTTGGGATTGGCCTCCACCTGCACCAACATGACTATGAACTACTGCAGCATGGCAAACTCCATGACAGGCTTCGGTGTGAAAGAACATGACTTGTCTGTGAAGAATCCCTCTCTGAACATGACTGAACACCTTTGGCAGGAATCAGTTGGGTGACTGGGGGACTGGTTTGCTCTGCCAAAATCAGTGTTAGACCTCACAAAGCTACTTCTGGGAGAACCGTAAAAAAATCCCAGAAACACTTGAACCACGATGAAAGGTCATAAGCTGCAAAGGTTGACCTGATGATGGATTTAACCGTACGGTTTAACAGTGGCATGGCTGTTCATATATGTGAGAAGAGATGGGTGGATACTTTTAGCACTAAAATTTAAGCCAGGGGTCACCAAATCAGGGGCCTCATGGGGTGCCCACAGCATCTTCTGAAAACAGCACAAATCACCGGTGGACCATTTTAATCATACAGAGTATTTGAGCCTTTATAGATATTTCAAAAATAATATAAACAAAAAACCTTTCCTCCCTCCCTCTTTTCCTTCCTCCATCCATTCATCCTATAACTCCTTCTATCCTTCCTCCCTACCACCATTCCTTCCTTCCTCCCTCCCTCCTTCCATCTTTCTTTTCATCCATCCCACCTCCCTTCTTTTCTTTCATTCTGTCCTTCCTTCCATCCTACCTTCTTCCCTTCCTTCCCTACCTCCTCCTACCTCCTGTAGTTAAAGTGAACGCTGTTCCCTCCCTCCTTCCTTCCTTCCTCCTCCCCTTCTTTCCTCCTCCTCCTCCCTTTCCTTCCTTCCTCCTTCCCTTCCTTCCTTCCTCCTCCTCCTTCTTTCCTCCTCCTCCTCCCTTTCCTTCCTTCCTCCTT